GTTCGGCAAAGATCGGCAAAGAATAACCCTTTTTCTGGTCAAGGTCGACTTGATCACTATGTGGTCTGGAATGAAGCCTAGCACATAGGAGAGAGACCGAAGTACTTCTTAGTACCTTAGCTCCAGGGATATCGCAAGTACCGCGTTGTAATTTTTTAGTGGGCTCGGTGCTGTTAAATTAAACGAGTTTAGCTCGACTGGACTCGTTAAGGATCGAGTTCGGCTCGAGCTTGAGGTCTAAACGAGTCGAGCTCATTTAAAGCTCATTTGGTTAACGACCCGAGCTCGGCTCGACTCGACTCGATAAGGCTCGAAAAAAGAATTTTTATATAATTTTCGATAGTTCAGGTCGTTAAAACTCGAGATCATCTCGTTAAGACTCGAACTCGACTAGTTAATAGTAATAAACAAGCCAAGCTCGAGCTTGATTTCTGGCTCATTTATTTAATGAGCCGATCTTGGCTTGGCTCGTAAAGGGCTCAAGCTCAACTCTAGCATCTTAAGTTTGAGCTCGGCTCGACTCGCTTACATGCTAGTGGGCTTAATCCAGGTGGGCAAATTTTGGGTATCATCTATCAACCGTAGTTAAAAATATGTGATATATGAATAGTGAATTAAAGTTGACGTGATATATGCGAAAAATTTATAAAAGAGTGTTAGAATTAAAATTTAAATTGAATAGTATAAAAAATTATTCTGTTAGTCACAATCGGTTTTAACTCCTTAACAACCCTACTTTGGCTTTTCCTTAATCCTTATAATTCATCTTCAGATACTGTGGAATCAGTATTCTTGCCGCTGAAACCCATCAAGCAACTCAAAATTAGGGCAATAAGTATCAGGTATTTGTACTTTGTGGTTTCATATATGATTAATTTTATTCAGCTCAATCAATTCATAGTCTTTACGTAGACAAAATTAGTTCTTGCTGAATTTTTGCAATCGATTCTTAGTTTATCCCTGTGATAAATCACGAATCTTTATTCAGGTAAGCTATTTCGTTATTACTGAAATTCAAATGTTTGTAGAAAAAGAAGAGATAATAATAAAAAAAAAAAAACCCCTTCATCTGTTTCCAATGTACAAGTTGGTAAAGTTTGTTCTTTTATGCCGTATTAGGTGCCAAAGAAGACCCACAATCCACGCCTACATCAGAATGATGAGGAGCTTACCAGATGACATCTTGCTTGAAATCTTCCTTAGACTGCCGGATAAGTCTCTTGTCCGCCTCAAAGTCTTATCCAAACATTGGCACTTGTCGATTTCTCGAATGTGTGTTCGCAGGAGTATAAAGCCTGTAGTTGGGCTGTTTCTTCTAACATACAGTGCTCGTTCTACGGATCCTCAATTCATCATGAGATCAGCTTTGTGTGTTTATTCTTATGTTAAAAGAGATGGCCTGCCCACACAAGTCTCGGGGAGTAGAATGATTGGTAACTATCTACCTCTAGAAGAAGGTGAAGAGAAAGGACCATCTTTATTATGTTGGGATGACTGCTTTGGCTCTTTTGGGTTGCCATTTAGACCAGTTGCGGTTGATCTGCTCGATTGTTGTAATGGCCTGCTCTTATTTCTGGACTTAAAATCCAGACTATATTATGTCTGTAATCCATTGACCAGGCAATATGTGTCAATCCCTCGTCCTCCATTTTTGATGCAAACATTTTGTTGTGGTGCACTTGCATTCGATCCCTCTCGTGGGTCAACTCGCTACAAAGTTGTACGGGTGGACTGGTCCCCATACCGTGATGTTATTGTAGACATATACTATTCGTTTGGGAGGCATTGGGTTAGACGCGAACTAAAGGTGGACCAATGTGTACGCGATGGCATATTGTCGAGTCCCGTGGTGTACTTCGATGGGGATTTATTTCGATTATCCGAATCGTGGAACCTCATACGGTTTGATCTGAAGAGTGAGAGTATTAGCGTGACCGGCCTTCCTTTGAGTTATAGAGAGTGTGATGGCTTGATGGGATGCATGGGGGTACAAATGGACCGGTTTATGTACGCGAATGAATCATGCAATGTGTTATACATATGGTCGCTCGAGAAAATTGTCAACAATGATGTATGGAGTTGGGATTTGAAGCACAAAATTAATATTTATGATTTGACCAGTGGTATTTTGCTTAACAAAGCAGATGCCCCTGATGGTTGTCATTGGATTGGGCCGGTTGCTTTTGATCCACACTCAAATGTGATCTACATGGGCAGCTCTCTTGTTATCCTCAGATGCAACCTGGACGAGGATAATAGTTTGGAGGAGATGAGTAGAGTGGATGGGAATGTCATGTTTCTTCCTGGATGCCACTGTCAAGCTTTCCCTTACTTTCGATGGCTTCTTCCATTCACCGATGCTGGAGATGCTTGCGATCGGAGTTTTTTGAAGTTTGTTTGATTCATTTTTACTAGTACGAGATAGATTATTCTTTTAAGAAGAAAATAATTTTTTGGTATTTCTTGTGTTTGTTTTATCTGCATTTTCGAATGTAATGAAACTTTTTTATCAAGTGTTGAAGAGTAAGTAGCTGGATTATACAGTCTGTGTGTGCAATAACTTGTTGCTTTCTTTTGACCATGTCAATCATGATCTATGTCTACACTTGTTCGTTCCAGTGTCACATTGTACTAGACATATCAAATTGAACTAACAAACAGATCGATAAAACTAAAATAAGTTACTAGACATATCAAATTGAACTAACAAACAGATCGATAAAACTAAAATAAGTTGCAAAAGATTTGGGTTAGTAAACAAGAAATGAAATATCAGAAATTCTGATAAATGAATTATGAGAAGGGCAGCTAGCACAAAATATGGATTGAAACAGAAAGAGATGAGGAGCAGGTAGCACAAAATATGGATGGAAACGGAAGGAGATACAATGCGTCCAGTCGTCGTCATCATATCACGTAGTATTAACAACTAGCTCAGAACCACCTCAGCCTGTACTGGAAATTATTTATTTAGGCTTTGCCCTGCCCATCTCTTTGAATAATTGGGTACCCAAACTAAAGGGCAGAAATCTTATAGCCTTACAAAACGATGGTAAACACATATCCATATACACCATCCCATGTGAATTTACACAGTACATAGCCTTACAAAACGATGGTAAACACATATCCATACATAAGACATTGTGGATCTTATTATGGTATTTTATTTTATAGGAAATCGGATGTGAAGGAAATAAAGAAAGGAAGAAGCCGTACATGATTAAGAGATCAAGAAGAAAGAGAATGGGAGATTCACTTACCTAAGATAAGGTATAACTTTGGAAGGAAATCAAGCTTAAGAGTCCTATGCCTTGAAGAAGACTACAACCTTAAGAAGTTTGTATAAATACCCTAGAGGAAGCTCTTATTGCGGCTGCTGAGTTTGGAAATTTTTTTAGAGCAATATTCGAGCTTCTCATTTTCTGTTCTATTCAGTTGTACACAGTTCAGTACAAGAGTTCTTACTAACTCTAGGACTGAAGCTGTTTTGTTTTGATTTCTTAGTTTCATCAAACTGTCTTTTGTTTTTACACTTAGGGAGTAAGTGTACGATAAAAAGTCCACGGGACGTATCCGGAGAAATAGTTGGTAGGATCGTGAGTAGTGTTGGCTAGACTTAAAGGGAGTTTGAGTCGTTGTAAGTCCAAAATATGTTCGTGTTCGATCTATCAATGAAAGAGCTCTGAGGGGAAGTGGGATGCTTCCCTGAAGAGTTTTTAATCTTCGGTTTATTGCTTCCGCATTATTCAGTTCTTGTTCTAGTTCGTACAATAAACAACGCACTCCGTATAATTATACGTTTCAAGAATGATTGGTAACTATCTACCTCTAGAAGAAGGTGAAGAGAAAGGACGACCCTTATTACATTGGGATGACTGCTTTAGCTCTTTTGGGATGCCATTTAGACTAGTTCCGATTGATCTTTTCGATTGTTGTAATGGCTTGCTCTTATTTCTGAACATAGAATCCAGACTATATTATGTATGTAATCCATTGACCAGGCAATATGTGTCAATCCCTCGTCCTCCATTTTTGATGCAAACATTTTGTTGTGGTGCACTTGCATTCGATCCCTCTCGTGGGTCAACTCGCTACAAAGTTGTACGCGTTGACTGCTCCTTGTACCTAGCTGATGTTTTTGTAGACATATACTATTCGTTTGAGAGGTTTTGGGTTAGACGCGAACTAAAGTTGGACCCATGCGTGCGCGATGGCATATTGTTGAGGCCGTCGGTGTACTTCGATGGGGATTTATTTCGATTATCCAATACGTGGAACCTCATACAGTTTGATGTGAAGAGTGTGAGTATTAGCGTGACTGGCCTTCCTTTGAGTTATAGAGAGTGTGGTGGCTTGATGGGATGCATGGGAGTACAAATGGGCCGGTTTATGTACGCGAATGAATCATGCAACGTGTTATACGTATGGTCGCTCGACAATGATGTACAGAGTTGGGTTTTGAAGCACAAAATTAATATTTATGATTTGACCAGTGGTATTTTGCTTAACAAAGCAGATGCCCCTCCTGGTTGTCGTTGGATTGGGCCGGTTGCGTTTGATCCACACTCAAATATCATCTACATGGGCAGCTCTCTTGTAATCCTCAGATGCAACCTGGATGAGGATTATAGTTTGGAGGAGATGAGTAGAGTGGATGGGAATGTCATGTTTCTTCCTGGATGCCACTGTCAATCTTTTCCTTACATTCGATGACTTCTTCCATTCACTGATGCTGGAGATGCTTGTGATCGGAGTTTTTTGAAGTTTGATTGAATAATTTTTACTAGTACGAGATAGATTGTTCTTTTAAGAAGAAAATGATTTGTTGGTATTTCTTGTGTTTGTTTTATCTGCATTTTCGCATGTGGTGAAGCAATTTATTAAGTGTTGAAGAGTATCAAAGAGTAGTTATTTTTAGTTGTTTCCAGAAACTATGAAGTAGGAATTTCAAGCGGATTTCTAGGAAGTAATAAGTAGGAATTTGGAGTGAGAATCAGTTGGGTTCGGGACTTGTTGGGGTTAGAAATTTGTAATATGTTGTAGCCATTATAGATAGAATATGCCTTTCTACTTATCTTTCTATGGTGACTATGGAAAAGTAGGAATAATAGGGTTTTGTAAAAGTGTGGGTGAGTGAGGAGAGATTAGTAAAATGTGCTCTGGATAACCTAACTGGCTGGAGTTTAAGCGTTTAGCCGAGGGAAAGTGGGATGAGAGGACAGTCGAGGGTGTCAGAAGGTTTAGTGAGGATGAAAGAAATGAGGGTGCAGAGGGTACCATTGATCTCACTGCCGGTAGATGACGGAAGGTTGGGTATGGGAGGTAGAGCTTGTAGGGGGAAGGAGGTGCTGCAGGCAGGAGCGGACTTACATAGGGGCCCGTAGGGGCAGGGGCCCCTCTAGCACCTTATTAGTAATATAGTGTATATGTTATATGAATAACTGTATTATTATATTGACATACAAAATACATGTTATTAATTATTATGTAAAGTTATTTCAACATAAAAAAATAAAAGTGAAATGTTTAGAATTATTTATTAACCTTCAATAGTACATTATTTTATAAATTGTGGAATTTATACTTATGCTATACTCAACTTCTTGTTTATATCAGTTTCTCTATCAAAATACATTAAAAAAACAGATATTATACATAAATGTATATACTATATAGGGATTGGTTCAAATGTGTCTATATTCTTAAAATGAGAATGCGAGACTCAATCTTAGCAATTAAATAAAAACAAGGTGTCTGGTCAAGATTTAAACTTTTTATTTATTTTTAATTAGTTAAATCTTGATTTGACCGTTAATATTCGACGTTCACCGTTGACCATTATATAATATTGCAAACCACTTTCTGAATTATACGGGTCTGTCAATTTGCCTCTTAAACAGGATATAAAAGTAGTTTTGACAAAAAAAGCTGACTTTTTAGGGCATTTTAGTAATTTTATATATTTAAAAAAAATGAAGAAGTTGGTCTCAAAAAATAGAATAATATAAAATAAAAAATGAAAATAAGGAGATTTACGCTCCCGAGCTTTTTTCTGTTTTAATCAATAGAGAGGTGGAGAGTGGTTCTTTGAAAGGGGTGAAAGTGAATAGGAGTGGTGTGCTGTTAACTCATCTACTATTTGCTGATGATTCCTTACTATTTTGTGAAGCTTATTCTGAATCAATCTGTGCTATTTTGAGAATTCTAGAGTGTTATAACAAGTTCACAGGGCAAAAAGTAAACTTGTTGAAATCCTCGATCTTCTTTAACAAGAATGTGGATGCTGGCTGGCATACAAAAATTTGTAACATATTGCAAGGAATTCAAATCCACAGATCAATTAAGTACCTTGGATTGCCTTGTTGGATATGGAGATCAAAAAAGCAGACCTTTGACTTTTTTACTGAGGCTGTTAGGAAGAAGGTTTCAAGTTGGAAGAATAATTTCTTGTCACTGGCTGGTAAAGAGGTTCTGATGAACTCTGTACTTACTGGTTTGCCTTTTTTCACAATGTCATGTTTTGTTCTTGCCAAGGCTCGTGTGTCATGAAATTGCCACAATTTGTGCTAAGTTTTGGTGGAGCAATGGCAACACTCAGGCTGCTGGAATTCACTGGAGAGCTTGGAACACTGTAACACTCCCTAAAGTGTTTGGTGGTCTTGGCTTTCATGATTTACATTTGTTCAATGATGCTCTAATATTGAAACAGATTTGGAGAGTGGCAACAAAGCCAAATTTGCTTATGAGCAGGGTCCTAAAAAGAAAATATTTTCCTAATGGGTGTATTTTTAAGGCTGTTGCCACTCCCAATGCCTCATGGTTATGGGCCACTTGGATGAAAGTCATGAACAGGTACTCTCAATGCTTCAGAGTGCAAGTTGAGGATGGTTTATCCACAAAAATTTGGCAAGATCCATGGATACAGTCCAATGCTTTGGGTATTCCTCAACCATCTACCAACAATAATGATGAGATTTAATGGGTGTGGCAGCTCATGGAAGAAGGGGGAAGAAGGTGGAATGCACAACTAGTTAAAGAGACATTCAATGAGAAAGATTGTGAATCCATCCAGCAAATGACCAATATTAACCCTAACAGGAAAGACAGATGGGTTTGGAATAATGAAGCCAAGGGGAGTTCTCAGTGTCTAAAGCTTACTCTAAGATGGTGGAAGATAAATTCAGGGTCATCGATGTGGCAGAAGGCAGTCACTCTACAGGCTTGCTAAGGAAAATCAGAACAAGAACTTGGAGGCTAAAGATAAAAGGCAAACTAAAGCATTTTGCATGGAAGTGTTTTTCAGAGGCCTTACCTGTGAAAGTCTTGCTGAGAAAGAGAGGGATGCTTGTGGATGGTATCTGCCAGTCTTGTGGGGAAGCTCTAGAGACAACAGAACATGTATTTCTGCATTGCAGAAGGGCAAATGAGATGTGGAAGGCTGCTCCTGTGTACTGGGAGATTGATACAAATGCTGCAACCACCTTTAGATCTTGGTGAGGAGATGTTTGCTCTGTTAACAGTCTTGAAGTAGCAGAAGCTAGAATAGAGCTAACCACATATTTATTGTCGTGGCTTTGGAGGGCCCGAAACCTTTATGTCTTTAAAAAGGAATGGATTCCTGTGCAATGTATAGTCAGATTAGCCTTAAAAGATAGGCAAGAGTATGCTAACAGGAAGAGCTGAAGAGTTCTGGTTTCAGTGAAGGGGGAGTCTAAGTCTCTTTGGCTCAGTGGGCACTCTTCATGGATATCAGGCTTCTTGGTATTAGTTTCTGTTAGCTTATCTTGCTGATTTTATTGTTTCTCTGGATTTTTTGGTTAGTATTTATCTGAGCAATACTAGAGGTGTCAGTTTTCCAGTGGCTCTAGTATGTGCACCATTTTGAGTATCACTGTGGTAGTGTCTTTTGTTTTTGTTGGGGTAAATTATTAGTTTGCTTGGGTATTTAGAGCACCAGATGAGGTGTCTCTCTGTTATTAGAGTTAGTTGACTCTCGATTTGATCATCTATCGTTTCGAAAAAAAAAAAGAGATGTACGCTCGAGAGTGTTCATCTATGCTCGAGAGCTGACGCTTCACCTTTTTCCATGGTCGTCAGAGATGTGAATGGCTACGCCACCGGACCCGCCGCGTCTCGGAGATGACGAAATAAAAAGAAAAAAAATGTATAGCTTTTCTATATACGCATTGAATTAAAATATTATTGAATTTCAATTTTCAACATGCCAAGTCAACTGTCACCTATGTTTAAAGAGCTATAAAAATAAGAAGGCATAAATACAAAATATTATTCCTTTTGCTTTCATACCTGGACAATGAGATTTGAGAAGATCGAGCTCACCCGTATTTGGCGGCGAGGGGGACGACGACGACCGACGTGATTACTTGATCCGCATTGCACAGGCACATGACCGTCACCACCAGCGTCGCCACCCTGATCTGCTCCACCACCAAGAACCCGACTTCCTGCCGCCACGCGAGCAGGCCCCTCTCCAGCCCCTTCGCCGCACAACTCCTGAAAAACGCCGAACCCCGGACATTGTCTTTTGTCGGCGGGCCCGCTACCCTACCTCCACAAGGCTGCATGCAGATCTCGCGGTTGAATTTCTCCGTCGGCAGCGAGAAGAATGCTCGACCTTTTTCAATCGGATCACAACCCGAAAAACGGGGTCTGTTAGCCGAAACTAGCTTGACTTGGCCAGATGGGGTCAAGGGCCACGACCTCTAGCAGCCAGGTGGCGACGGCGGAGACCTTTCTCCTCCCCCATACTCCACGCCACATCCTCGACGACTTCAGCGTCGAGATCCTCAAGGCTGCCGGAGAGCGCTCGAGCGGTAACTCCCTCGACGACATCTCTTTTATGCTCCACTCCAACTTTCTAGCGGAGCAAGCCGCCACCTACGGTCGGCGTCGCCATCATCGTAGGATCCGCAACCTATAATGTTGTTTTCTTTCTTCATTTTTTTCCATTCTTCCTTTTTTTTTGAAAAATATATGAAATTACTCAAATACCTTCAAAAATCAATTTTTTAGGGGTTTATTGCACCAAATCCCCTGTATTATACTAAATGTGCACGTTTTCTTATTCTAATTTAAAAATCGCATCAAATCCCCTTGTATTAAGTGTTAGTCAGCTGACGCTCTCCAACTTGTGTCTGAATGATAACACCATTACATATTTGTCAAACTTCCCGTTATGTCCTCGACATTTGAGTTGGAGAACCGACTTCTCTTCAATTTTTATCACCTTCTACAAAGGGTGAAAGCCCTAATTTAAAAAAAAAAAAAGAAAAGAAGAAAATCAGATCCCAGATTTAGGGAGCAACTCCATCCGCCACCGCCACAAGTGTTCTCTCTCGATCTATATAGCGGCAGGGCCTTCATCGGGGACGACGCATACCTCGTTGTTGTGATGGGCCTAAAAGAGCCCAGGGTCGCATCGATTGAGACGTCGGCGTCAGAACTTTTGAAGGCCCTGCGGTGGAGATGGAGGCGAGCATCATGGACGGTCGCGACTGGCGATGTGGCGCCATCTCCGACGTCACCGCTGTGAAAAACCCCATATCCCCGACTCGCCTCGTCATGGACAATTCTAGCATTCCTACCTCTCTTTTTCTGGCGCCGAAAATGGATTTTTAGATTTGGGGAATGGATTTTTAGATTTTGTTTCAAATCTAGGGCTTTGAATGAAATTTGGGGATGAGACCTGACAT